ATTGTTGACCATTATGTTTTCTCCAAAATTTTTTATTATACATAACACTAATAAATATCTTAGTTGTTAAATCTTTGCATTGATCTTTGACTTTTTCCTTACATAGAATTCTCAGAAATAAACCCTAGGTCAAAGGGTATCTCTCTTTTTTTTTTTTTTTTTTTTTGGACAGAGTTCACTCTTGTTGCCAGGCTGGAGTGCAGTGCCATGATCGCGGCTTACTGCAACCTCCACCTCCTGAGTTCAAGTGATTCTGCTGCCTCAGACTCCCAGCCAAGTAGCTGGGATTACAGGCACATGCCACCATGTCTGGCTAATTGTTTTGTTTTTTTTCTTTTTTAGTAGAGGTGGAGTTTCACTATGTTGGTCAGGCTGGTCCCACATTTTTAAGTATCTTGATTCATATTGCCAAATTACCACTCAAAAATGTTAAGGTGTTCATGTTTTGCATCTAGGGGTATCTGTTTGAACCTTAGATAGAAGCCAGACTTAACAAAGATTGGCCCCAAACTCACTGGGATTTTTCATGTAACATAGTATGGTAGAAATAAACCAAAGTTGGAGTCAGTCTAAGCATGTTGCAACCACATACTGCCATTTCTACAAATCACTAATTTTTAGCTTCATTCTCTTTATCTGCAAAATCAGTTGATATACTCTGTAGTGTTGTGAATATTAAATGTACTATAGCTATGTGAACACGTTTCAGACTGCCTGGCTCATAGATGATTAACAAATGTTAGATTCCATCTTTGTTTTCTCCCTAAAATCCCTTAGATAATAATTTCTATATAGATGAGTTAGAAACATGAAAGGAATATGTTGTTATTTTTCATCTTATGTTTGTACAGGGACCTCTGAAGAGGAGATTTAGGTCTTAAGGAAAAGAAAAGAGCCATCAGACATTAATACAAATAAAACAAGAATTGTGTATGCATCAAGTCCTCATTAGGTGTCAGTCTTAGAAGTTCTAGTTGGAAATTGTATTTGTAATTAGAAGCTCAAGACCTCCTAATCAAGTTCTTATTGTGTTTAGCCATTGCTTTTTGTTCATTATCTCACATAACAAGAGGCACAGAGGTTGGGCAGCTCGAGGCTCAGTACCATCAACAGCTCAATGATGTCATTAGGGAATGGGTACTTTCCATCTAGTTGTCATACTCATTGAGTAAGCTTGACTGTAAGACTGGCTCCTTTGGGCAACCAGAAGCCTAGAGCCATTCACATTGAGACACAGTGTTTACAGAGGCAGAAGATCTTCTGCTGTATCTCCTGATATCTCTCAGCTTCCCCTTAAAAGCTCTCTCCTCACTTCTCATGTACCAATACTAGGTTTAAATGCCCCCTTCTAAAACAACCAATGGCAAGTGGAGAAGGAAGGCTTGAGTGGGTTTAGAGTGACAACATTCATTCCTGCATATGGGAACTTCTGAGTCACATGGAGAAAAGATGAGCTGACAGATCCCATATTGGATATTTCAGCAAAAAGGCAGAGAAAAATGGGTGTTCAGCAGCTCACCAAAGTACCTGATTCAGAAATACAACTGGAATATTTAAATTTGGCTTAACTAGTCTTTTTAAGCGTGTTCCCAAAGCTCATCATTATGAAAGGTAGCAAAACAGAAAACAGAAGTATTATCATTCTTAGTCGTAACAACTAACGTCTGTGTGAGTTTGAGTTTCAAAACATTGAGCATATATGTTATTTTAATTCTTACAGCTAAAGTACAAGATAATTGATATTGGCATCCTCCTTTAATAGATGAAGGAAGCAGTGAAACTGGTCCAGTTGTCCCATAGAACATGATGTTTATGCTTTCTTTTGAATGAACACAGAAATTGATCCTCCCAGTCTTCAAACTTGAGAAAGTTACATTTGTTTTATCCGAGTTCTCATCTGAGTTGCTTTATCAGGAAACCAACCATCAGGCCTCCCAGATACCATCAAGGAACTTAAGCTTACCAGATCACTGCATCTAGACAATAAGACACCAGATCCCTCACCCATCCTGATTGCCTAACTGACAACTTGCTTGCTGTTGACCAGCTCTTCTTCCTTACACCCCTTAGTTCCTATTTTCCCACACATGGTTACATTTCTTCCCTGCTATATAAACTCCTAATTTTAGTTTTTCAGGAAGATAGATTTGAGACTGATCTTCCGTTTCCTCAGCTGTAGCACCTAATTCAAGTCTTCTTCCTTAGCAATACTCATTGTCTCAGTGATTAGCTTTCTGTACCACGAACAGATAAACCAAGACGGAACATTGGTTAGCACTGCAGTAACAGCAAGGCTCGGGAAGATGAAAGGGTTTCCTATGAACTACACAGCTAATAAATAAACCACACCAGAATTCAAGCCCAGTTCTTATTGTCATAAATCTCCGTTGTTTCTATGACCCCCAAGCTACATTTTGGAAAACAGAAGTCACTTAAAAGCTGTAAAATGGTCTGGCAGAGTGTAAAATTGTGAGGTAAAGATTTTGTGTGCTAGAGGGAGGATCATTCTGGGAAGGGATGAGTCCCAAAAACTGTCTTTAAAAAGATCCTGTGTTCTGCTCTAACATGAAATTACAGGAATGCCTGAAAAAGGAGATGAGGAAGGAAGAATAGAGGACTCTAATTTAATTTTGGAGGTGGCTTCACACCAGGACTAGACAGGTTAAAGCGCTTGAGAGCTATCCCCATCTTGGGAAATGGCAGCGGGGTGAAGGAAGATGTTGTGTAAGGCTCTCCACTGTCTCCTGAGAGTTTATCAGAAACCCCATCAGTCATTGGTCAGAGGGAGCAAGAGTGTATGCCGACCCCTAGTGGCACTCTTTGCAGAATACAGGTACACACAAGTTCCTTAAGTAAAGGTGGTCCTGGACAACTTCGCCTTCCTAGTTTTCTTAAGAGAAATCTTTACTGAATCCTTATATCTAGCTTATCTGTCTCTCGACATACTATTTCCCACCTCAATTTCATGTAAATAATCATCTTCTGGTATTTTCATTTGGAAAAGTGGATTTCTGCATAAGTCTCTGGTATCTTAAAATCAAACCCACCTACTCATTAAGCATCAAAAACAAGTAAAATAACTTCTTTTTTATACTCTAAAGGATATATTTCAATAAGTGGCATGTTCCGACAAATATTCATTTATTGGCTACTGTGTGCCGGCAACAGTATTAGGATCTGGTGGGCACGAGAGTGAATAACAGCAACAACCAAAACAAAAAAGGCATTTGTCTTTATGGAGATTACATTCTAATGGGAGCAGGGCTCAGTAAAAAAGAAATAACAAGGTAATTTTATATTGTGATAAATTCCATAGAGAGAATTAATGGGATGGTGCGTGATAAAGAATAATCATGGAAGATCCTCGGATGTAACAGTGAGCTAGCCAAAATCTAGAACCTGCTTTGAGAACAGCCTGGGGAGAAGCATTTTAGGCAGAGGGAATACAAATAGAGTCTTTAAAGTGGTAGAAGGTTTGGCCAACTTCCTGAACATAAAGTAGGGTGGATTAGAAGAATTACAGAGAGAGAAGAAGAGATTAGCATGGTGAGAAGTGGGGGAGGTTGGAGGGTTGGCATGGTGGGTGGTGGAGAGTTTGAATTTATTCTCAAGGCAATGAGGCAAAAGGCATTTTACGTAAGGGAGTAACATCATCTGATTAGATACAGACCAGGATAGTGTGCTCAAAAAACAGGAATAGCCTCCTTCATAAAATATATTTCCAGTAATAGAGATCAAACTGATGTAAGAGTTCTCATTAATGATATTGTATTTATCATCAGATGATCGGGTGAGATCCAGGGTGTCAATCGATCCAATTGTAAAATAAAAGCAAAGTCTTGACTCAAGGGGAACTCCTCCCAAATCAGTTTTGCTTTTTTTTTTTTTTTTTTTTGAGACAGACTCTTCCCCCTCTGTCATCCAGGCTGGAGTGCAGTGGCGTGATCTTGGCCCACTGCAACCTCCGTCCCCTGGGTTCAAGTGATTCTTTTGCCTCAGCTTCCCAAGTAGCTGGGATTACAGGCGCCTGCCACCGCGCCCAGCTAATTTTGTATTTTTAGTAGAAACGGGGTTTCACCATCTTGACCAGGCTGGTTGTGAGCTTCAGACCTCATGATCCGCCTGCTTTGGCCTCCCAAAGCGCTGGGATTATAGGCATGAGCCACAGTGCCCAGCTCTATTTTACTTCGAATGAATTATGAAAGAAAAACCCTTATCTTAACTTAGAATCTTATAACAACATCATTTTTATCATTAGATGATGAATGATTAAATGTATGTGTGTTTTCCTGTTTGTCAAAGATCAAAGTGTGAAGGTGAAACCTACTAATGAGAAAAAATTGACCATGAAATCGCAAGTATTATTGCCAGTTTTTTAAAAATATTTTCATTTGGGTTTGGGAGGAAAAAAAATAATTAGCAAGAGTTTAGTATTCTAGGATATCAAGACTTGATGGAAACACCAGGAGATGTTGTAGGTGGCATTGAGAGCAAGTGAGTAAAATAATAATGATAATAATTTAAATAATAACAATGACAATAATGTATTTAACAAAGATTATGAGACTTGTTTAGAGAATTGGAAATGGTGGCGGGACACGGTGGCTCATACCTGTAATCCCAGCACTTTGGGAGGGGAGGCCAAGGCGGGCGAATTCGAGGTCAGGAGATCAAGACCATCCTAGCTAACACGGTGAAACCCCGTCTCTACTAAAAATACAAAAAATTAGCCAGGCATGGTGGTGGTAGCCTGTAATCCCAGCTACTTGGAAGGCTGAGGCAGGAGAATGGTGTGAATCCGGGAGGCAGAGCTTGCAGTGAGCCGAAATGGCACCACTGCACTCCAGCCTGGGCGACAGAGCGAGACTCAGTCTCAAAAAGAAAAAAAAAAAAAAGAATTGGAAATGGTAAGGGAAATAGCAAATGTCCACCCTGACTCTAAAGCTCTATCTGTATATCCCCCTTAACCCCATGTTTTTTATTTATTTATTTATTTTTAGATTCACATTATCTAACTTGCCGAATGCAGAACTGTACAGAGGCCAACAGGAATCAACCTTTTCCAGGCTACATTGACCCAGACTCTTTGATTGTTCAGGATCATTATGTGTTTGTTCAGGTATGAAAAATCCACTTCTGTTGATTGTCTCAGAAACCTTTATTTTCCTTGTTTCTGTCCCTATTGCAGTCCCTTTTGCCTGCTTTACACTCCATTAAGAGTCAAAAGGAGAGGAAGGGAGGGAGGGAAGGAGGTAGGGAGAGAGGGGAAAATCACTATCTTTTCAACAAAAGGATAATTACTGAATGTGGAATCTTCTATAGTAACAGAATAGTAATGAGTTTCTTTGGGCTGTGTCCGGAGGATCTTATCCATGTGGGGTCATGAAGGCATCACAGAGAGGAATGAGATTGTCTCTAGGATGATGCACAGTACGATCTGTCCCCTACACCTGCATTCCAAAGAAGCTTCCAGTTATCAAAGGGACTGAACAAATATGTCAGTCTCTTTCTATCTGGGGAAGGGTCAGCCAATCAGCCCCCTCCCCAATACCCACTTTAAAAGTGGAGAAGCAAGAATGGGAAGGGAAGCTGTGGGGTGGCTGGAGATAGTGGGAGGCAGAGGCCAGGGGGTGAGTAGTCAGCTTTTATTGTCATGCACCAACTGTGATTAGAATAAAGACACTTCAGAGCAGATATATTCAGCCAGGTTTTTCACCCCCAGGAGAGTGGAGAACAGTGTAAGAAGCTGAAGTTTCCTGAGTTGTTAGTAGAGACAAGAAGCAAATATGCTGCACTGCTTTTCAGCATTCAAGGAGAAATTTAAGCTTGTTTGGACAATGCATTTAAAAACTCAGTTACCGCCTTCCATGTTAAAAATGACAAAGGTACAATTACTAAATAGCTTATATGTATATATAAAATTATACATAAAGACCCATTCTAGACAGTAATACATTTATTTCGACAAGAAATTGGAATTTAGAATATTTAATTACATGCTTCGAGGAGGCCATTTGTTTAAGTGCCCATTGGCCTGTGTACTTTTAAAATGTTTCACATGTGATCTCACACAGACACACACACACACACACACACCCCATTTCTTTATTCTTCAGGAAAATTAGTAATTAATACTCGGACAATTTCAGCATCAAATTGTCAAGGGACATTCGAATAGTTACACGTATTGGTTCTGTCTATAATAATTCATTTCTGTTATCAGTGCCGCTCCTAGGAACCTTTTCTGGTTTCTAATAACAGTTTGTGATCCACATCTATGACTTACAAATGAGAATCAGTTCTGCATTTGGAATTTCATACAGTCTTTACCCATGTCACCATGAACATCCTGTAGCCCCTCACTAGACCTAAGAGGTGATCTGGCCACATGACAGTGAAGATGATAACTTTCCAAGTCACATTCCTAATGTGATGAACATGCACATTTGCCGACCTTCTGGGTATGCAAACTCCAGCTGTCATTGAAACTCCAGGCATTTAAAGAGTTTAAGGGTGGCTGCAAAGGAGTAAGAGAGACTGGTGGTGGTGCCCTTGACACTGTGCCCTGCAGGTTGCTCATATGCTGGACTGGAGACCACACCCCTTCCTGCCTTCTCTCACACCCACCAGGATTCATTGAGCTGCATGCTTTGGACAAAATTGGAGGGGAACTGGCTGTGGTGGCACCTGCTTTTAGTCTCAGTTCCTGGGGAGGACTGCTTGAGCCCAGGAGTTGAAGGGTGCAGTGAGCTATGATTGTGCCACTGCACTCTAGCCCTGGGCAATACAGTGAGATTTAGCTTTAAAAAAATTTTAAAAAGGCTGGGCGCAGTGGCTCATGCCTGTAATCCCAGCACTTTGGGAGGCCGAGGTGGGTCGATCACCTGAGGTCAGGAGTTCGAGACCAGCTTGGGCAACGTGGTGAAACCCTCCATCTCTACTAAAAGAATACAAACATAGCCGGATGTGGTGGCAAGGGCTTGTAATCAATCCCAGATACTCAGGAGGCTGAGGCAGGAAAATCACTTGAACCTGGGAGGTGAAGGTTACAGTGAACTGAGATGGTGCCATTGCACTCCAGCCTGGGTAACAGCAGTGAAACTTAATCTCAAATATATAAATAAATAAATAAAATTAAATAGAAGAGACCTACATTGAATTTGGACGACAATCCTAGCCTGGTTTTGTGTCTGATACGCCAGCACTCCTGTCTGTGCCATGTGCCCATAATCATCAGTGTAACACCATCAAACTGGAATTCAGTGCCCAGAAATGTGAGCCTCCAGCTCTGCCACTGTTTGACTTGGGCCGTTTCATTCTGATATGGCACAGGGACCTACCTACTTGTAGGGTCATAGACTTGGGTCTAGAGACCTGGGCTGGTGATGGCAATCAGCCAGTGTACCCCAAGGTTAGTATCATTTGAAAAAAATAACTCAAAATGTTTTCTGGCATCTGAGCCACAGTGCAAATTTAAGAATTGTATTTTTGTCCAGTAGGTTCAGTTTGGGCCTCTGACCAGCTCACATACTCTTTATAAGTTGTGTTTGAACTGAATGCCAATTCTTTACACGTGTCTGCAGTAGACATTAATGCCATTTGTTGTGTTGGAAACTACCTCCTTCCATTCAGGTCGCTGTTCTGTGACCTGTGTCTGTCATCGTAGCTTGAGCTTCTTACAATCTTGTTTTTATGATCCAGCTGACATCAGGAGGGCGGCCACATTACTACGTGTCTTACCGAAGGAATGCGTTTGCCCAAATGAAGCTTCCGAAATATGCTTTGCCCAAGGTATGGCCTAGATCACTTTCTTCATTTCACTCTTGACTCTCATTCACAGAAGCCAGCCTCCATCCCTTTCCCAAGGACTCTTTCAACCTCTCATAGTCATGTTTTATTTATATCTCTCATCTCTGTTTCCCAGGTTTGCTCTGCCTACTGTCTTTTTGACCATTCTTATTATCCTTCTCTTATTTCCTCCCTCCCTTCCTTTCTCTCTCTCTCTCTTTTCTTTTTCTTTTTTCTTTTCTCTTCTCTTTTCTTTCTCTTTCTTTCTTTGTTTCCTTTCTCATTCTTTCTTTTCTTTCATCTTTCTCCTTTTCTCTTTCTTTTTCTCTCTCTTTCATCTTACTTTCTCTTTTTCTCTTTCTTCTCTCTCTCTCTCTGGGATTGTTGCTATAGGAGCATTCATAAGAATTTTAATAATTGATTTGATTTTCAGTAGTAAAGATTTTCAAGCCGTATGTATTGGTTTTCCAACAAGACAGAAAATATTTTTTGGATGTGTTATGTATCAGTGCAACAGCTGCAATCCATTTCTGTCTGGTTTGATTATCAGTTGTTTACTGAGCGGCGATGCTGTGACGTGGCACCAGCCTTTGCTTTCTCTCTCAGCCAATCAGCTCTCTGTAAACTTATGTGACTGGTTGTCTTTAGCGTTCTGAGGCGCAGCTAATTTTTTAGACTTTCCCAAAGGCATACCCTTTGGAAGACAGAGACAAGCAAAAGTTAAAGACCCTCAACTGTTGACAGCCCCAGGCTGTCTTTCCAGAAGGTGCTGAAGAACTGCGTTAATATGGAGCGCCACCTAGTGGAGGTCAAACTGACTTGGGAGCTCAAAGCTGTGTGTTTGCGATCTTGCTGCCATTGTGATGTATTTGAAGTGACTAGGAACTGTAAATGTATTGTGCCTTAATCTTAGAGCATGGGAGATGTATGTGGCTATAAGAAAGGGACTCTGCAGGTTTAAATAGAGTTCTAGCTCAACTTGGAAGACTTTGGGTTGTACAAAGAACATACATAACTTTTTTTTTTTTTTTTTAATTGAGTTTCCATGCCTCTTTCTCTTGTATTTTCATCCATGACTTTGTAGTATGTTGACCTGAACCAACACCAGATAGCTGCCCAGGAAGTCATATAATAGACATAACACAAGGGCACAGCAGACCTCCTCTCCCGGGAGAGCTAGTGGTGACAGATTATTCTGGCTTCTCCAGGCTGAATTCTCTCTCTTGGCTACCACCCTACCCTAACCCTAACATAGTGAAAGGTGGGCTGTAAGCCTCAGTCCATTAGAGGTAGTAACACACATTGAGTTGCACTATTAACTCCAAAGAACTATAGCTATGCTCGTAGTTGTTATTTTCAGCTGCTGAGAGATTGATGACTGTGGTAATTATCCGGAACTGTATGTATGTCTGTGTCTGGATACATTTAAGTTCTTGTTCTTGATTTGGCTTAAGTGTTTTTCTTTTTTTTCCAATAAAACACGAATTTACAACATTGAAGTTGTGCCTTAGATAAGAATTGGATAACATCACTATGTAAAAGGAAAACTGAGTGTCGTTCAAATTACCCCTGATAATCTCTTAGGAAGGTTTGTCAGAGAAATGAATATGTTAACTCAATAAATACAACAGTGCCGGGTTTTTCTTTTTTTCTTTTCCTTTTGAGCATTGAAATAAATTGTTGTTTCTTTGATTGACTAATAAATGAAGTAGTTGACTTGCAGGATTTGCACCTTAAAAAAAAGAATTATCCTCAATGCAATGACATGCTGCTGCTGTTCAAGAGGGATGTGGAAATGGAGACCATATCCTCATCTTATGTGCACTCTTGGGAATAAACTGTTTTTTGTTTGTTTGTTTGTTTGTTTTGAGACGGAATCTCGCTGTGTCACCCAGGCTGGAGTGCAGTGGCATAATCTTGGCTCACTGCAACCTCTGCCTCCTGGGTTCAAGCGATTCTCCTGCTTCAGCCTCCCGAGTAGCTGGGACTACAGGCGCATGCCACCAAGCCTGGCTAATTTTTGTATTTTTAGTAGAGACAGGGTTTCACCATATTGATCCGGCTGGTCTTGAACTCCTGACCTTATGATCCACCTGCCTCAGCCTCCCAAAGTGCTGGGATTACAGGTGTGAGCCACCGCGCCTAGTGGGGTATAAACTCTTTAAGTGACATAAATTTCGGTCGAAATCAAATGCTATTTGTAGCATAACTGAGGCTAGAACTCAAGTCTCCTGACTCTTAAGGTAGTGTATTTTTTATATTATACTTTCTTACCTTGAAGGTAAATTTATAGCTTCTGTTATTAAAACATAGCATCATCACCTCCTCAAAATTCCATATACTGTCAGGGGCATTAAGAAGAAAATCCCATTGACTTAAGGAGCCCCAGAAATCATACTTTAAAATCAAAGAAACGTTTGTAGAGTCATTGCTGGAGGTTGGGGAAACAGATACTTTGCATTGCTTGTTCATAGCCATCTCACAGATCATTGCTGACAGTTGCCCCCAGTGGCATCTAGCCAATATGGAAGGAAAACGTTTTACTTTGAACCCGAATTTATATCTGTCTTCTTCCTCCTGTTCTCCCAGAAGATCATGTTCCATTACTCAGTCTCATCTGGGTTCTGAGGGTAGAATGCAGTGATTAATTTAGCTTGTTACCAGAAAACATAGGGGCTAGTACAGCAAACGATTGTATTATTTGATCCAGGTGGGTGTTTATTATTTAAGGCAATGAGATTCTTTATTATAATCCCATTATACCTTCGAAAAGAAACCCCAGCTTGGGTGGAGTGGTCTGCGACAAAGGTGCATGTATTTCATGGCCTTCTGTCAGAGTCAGGGCTGGTGCAACTGGAAATGAACAACGCTTCATGCCGACCAAAGGAATCGAGACAAACCAGCACTTTTATGCTCAATTTTCTTTAATCACCCACTACCATTGTATCAGCTCCTGAAAGATCATAGTCACCCTGAGCTGTGCTCAAAAAAATGTTTAATAATATAATAGTAAAGAATGATAGGCAGTAGGGAGATTTTAATATTGCTGTTGCCGTTAAGAGCACGTGGCCCTCCAGACAGGCAAACGTAGTGACAGTCTTCCTTAACTTGCTCGGAACCCATTCTGAGCTACTCAAGTGAGATAAATGAGGCAATACATACGAAAGTGCTTTGAGCATTTTGGAGGACAGATACTCTATAAAAGCAAGGTAATATTATTATTAGCATGGATCTAGTTGTCTCCATGGTGGAAGATCGATGTGGACCAAGATGCAGGTGATGTGAAGGCTGCTTTATTTGCAGCAGGAGACCTGGATTAGGGACCCAGATCTGTCACTAACTTGCTTTGAAACCTTGGGCTGGTTTGTCAATGCCTCTTTTCTTCATTTTTTTTTTTTTAAATAAGGAGCTTAGATTCACAACAATATTTTCTCATGTGTGTTACTTAGAATAAAATGTCCTTAGTAATCCTTCCTGAGAATTTGGCGGTGTGGTCAAATATGTCTGAAAAAAGAAAGAAACTCCATTCTGTGTTTCTTGCCTAGAGAGTAACAGTAGCTCGCTGGTATGTTGAAGGTTTAGAATGTCCAATGAGCAAGAAAGCTCTTTAATTCACCGTTAATTAAAATGTTTTACCGTTTTAAAGTGGTAAAACATTTTTCAAGTTTTCCAAACTTGAAACTTGAAAATTTTCAAGTCTTCTAAAATCCTAACAACATTGTTTTTTTTTT